ATATTCCACATCTACATCATTTACATGATTGCATTGTTTTTCCTTGCAATGGTAATAATCGAAAAGACGGTGGCGCATAAGAACATATTTCGATTTTTCACGTCTGATCTAATTAAATAATATATAGACTATTCAGAAAACAAAGTCGCAGAAAAAGTTTCAGTTATGTAGCCTACGTTTTTTTCGAGCGTACAGATAAATTCGTTTATGGTCTTTGAAAAGCTTTATCGATTACGAAATTTCATTAACCTAATAATTAAACGGTAAATGGTATGCACAGATATTTCAGATTTAAAATTTAAGATATGATTAAATGAAAATGATGAGAAATTCATGATTTTTCATTCTACATGTATATCAATAAGATTAGACGTTGAAAATCAAACGGAATCGAAATTACATTCTTATGCGTTTCCGTTCTGTCATTTCATTTTTGTTTTCTAAAACTAATAAATTTTAATTCTTAAGGTCATCGTCCACATACAAATGAAATATCTGGTTCTGATCTTGATGGTGATGTGTATTGGGTTTGTTGGTTACCAGATATTGTACCTAATCCTGAAAATCAAATTGAACCATTAGAATATGATATAACAGAAAAAAAACTTCTTGATCATGCAATAACAATTGATGATGTAGCTGATTTTTTAATTGATTATATGGCTAATGATTTTCTTGGTGAATTATGTAATGCACATTTAGCTTGGGCTGATTTAGAATTAGCAACAAGTCCACGTTGTATTGAATTAGCACGTGATATAGCTGCTGTTGTTGATTATCCTAAAACTGGTATTAATCCAGTTAATGATGAAAAACGTCGTGAATTAAAAGCACCACGTTATCCTGATTTTATGGAAAAAGAATTACGTACATATTCAAGTCGTAAAGTACTTGGAAAAATGTATCGTCAAGCACGTTGTGCATATGATTTACATGTTCAATTAGAATATCTTGATGAAAAACATTTTATTGAAATTGATGAAACATTATTATTTGATGGTTTTGAATCTTATTTAGATGATGCTAAACGTCAATATCATTTATATTGTAATAAATTACAACAAATACTTGATTTATATGATTATAGTACAGAAGCTGAATTAATAACTGGTTGTCAACCATTATTTATTGATGAAAAACGTTCATATGATGCAGCTGATGTTGCTGGACAAGATTTTAAACGTTTACGTACAGATACACGACGAGAATTTTTAAATGAATTTATTCGTTATAATGATAAATATCAACAACAACAACGTAAACGTGATCGTGATCGTGATATAACATTAATATCATCAGATTTTAATATAGCTCGTAAACAATTACAAAAAGCATCAGCTTGGTATTATATTGCATATACAGAAGAAAATGATGATCATGAACAATTAATTAAATCAAAATCATTTGCATGGATAATGTGGGATTTTTTATGTGAAATACGTTCACGTAAAGAACGTATACATCATTTATCATCACGTACAATATCTGAAGCATTAAAATCATATTATATAACAATGACAAATGTTAAATCACGTCATATAGCAAATTATGAAAAAGCACGAACAAATTTATATAAATATTTATTAGAAGATGAATGTGAACATTTATTTGAACCAGCTTATTCATTTCTTAATATACCAGATTTAACTGGTACACGTGTACGTGTTATTATTGATTCACATAATCATTTAAATAAATCAAAAACAATAATTAATTTAAATAAACAACAATATGATATTGTACCATTAAATATAAATAAAATAAAATTATTTAATAAAGCAAATAGATTTTATTTTAAATTATTAATGCAACAACCAGCTATTGCAACTGTTTTAGAAATAGCAATTGATTGGGCAGCTAAACATCAATGTTTTACAAGAATGGATAGAGAAGGAAATAAAATTCTTGTTTTAAAACCAGAAATGTTTTTTGAACGAGCACTTAAAGCTTTATTTAAAGATGTTCCAACTTGTTATTTACCATCATTTGATGATGATAATGATAATGATAATGATCAACATGAAGATAATCATATGAAAATTATTAATGGATCAATTGAAGATGATACAATATCATCTTCATCAAATGATGAATATTCAATTAAAGTTACAAATAAACAATTAAATAAAGATTTATTTTTAACTTATGAACAATGGACTAATTATATGATTGATAAAGTAAGATGATCTTTTTTTTTCTTCGAATTCAAATTATCTGTCTATTTTGATAAAAAAGAAAAATATTGGAACAAATATTTAGTTTTTGGGAAAAAACAAAAAATTTCATCGTTGGATAACCTAATTAGAGACTTTATATGTTTATGTGAAGTTCATTAGAATATTTAATATATGCTCAGAGGTTCTTGATGAGTATATCTTACAGTTAATGACAAAAGTTTCAGTGAATTTGTTTCTTTCATGTTCTATCTGCTTTCAAAAAAAAGTTCCATTTCCAGAATTGATCTTCACCTCAAAAACCTAATTTTAGTGAGAATAGCTGGAAAAAACGGAAAGTGAAATCAGTTCTTAGAAATTTTCTCTTATCGCAATTTATTATGCATCATTGAAAAGAGTATTCAAAACTGAATAAAACTGTATATTTAAAGTTCTAATAGCACCAATTTTTCACATCCATTTTTTTGAAACAAAATTTTTGGGGCACAAGACTCACTTTTCTTTTTTAATTATTTTATTGGAAAAGTAGCCGCTTTTTTCTGTCTATTCTCGCTAAAATCAGGTAGGAAAAAGACTTTTGTCCACTACTGTATAGATTATTATGGTAGTATTTTATTGAACGATGCTACAAGTTTATTGTACTAATTTTCAATCTTTCAAATATTGAATACTTAATATTCAGACATGGTTTATTATTAAAAGACGGTCATCCTTCTTTGTAATCCACTTATATAAGATCAAAATGATTCTATGACATATGAGTTAAAGTGAGATCCTTTTCAAAAGTATTCATATTTCCGATTCTATTAAGTTATTAAACTCGATCGAAATTTGTATACAAAGTGTCCATTTTTTCTCCTCTTTTCACTGTTTAAAACTGTCGATTGTTATGAGATGATGTTTTCAGCTTATTGAATTTTTAATTGAGTACTTTCAAGTCTAGGTGTTGACATTAGTTCATTTTTTGTCAAAGTTAATAATAGGACTTTATAAAAAAAAAGAAAATCTTTAGATTCGAACGATATGATACAATATGAATTAAACATGACTGGATAACTTTACAAGCCTTTGATTATTTGTGTTTATCTCTCTCATCAGAAGAAAAATCATCGTAAAAAGATTTAATCTTATTAATTTCCATTGATGGAATTCAAATCAAATTAAATCTAGAATAAATGAATAATTTTTATAACATGAATGCTATTTCGTTTTTAGTATATCTGAAAAGTGTCTTTCAAATTAAATTTGTAATAAATTTTCTTTTTTTCTTTGTTTTAGTGGGATTTTCAAGCAATAGCATACAATTTTCAAAAATTAATTCGTGTTTGTAATGATGAAAAAGATATATGTTTTCTCAATGTTTGTCATGTACTTTTATTGGCATTACAAAAGATTGGTATTACTCGAAATCTTGATAATGCACCTATTGATCTCAAAGATTCACTTGTTTATCGAGTAAAATTTTATTAATTGAAAAAAAAAGAAAAACAAGAATATAGTTATTTCTTTTTTTTTTCTTTGTCTATTTAGTTGGATCAACCATTAAATCGAAATCGTCCATCATCTGTATTAAATGAAAGTGTATCAAAACCAGAATCACTTCCACCAGAATAATCTTTGATTTATTCTAATCTCTATTTTTCCGAATTGATATTAGAATTACTTTTTTTTTTCTACTCTAGTCATTGATAAAGATGTATAAAGTCTCTCTTTTTTTTTTAGTTGTTATTAGTTTGTTTGTTTTGCATAACAAAGTTAAGCCTGTAATATTTCATGTCGATCTCAGGTTGCCGTTCGTTATCGATACGAACTCTTTTCTTCTTTTGTGATCAAACTTGTCTTTCTTCATCTTGTGTATTATATATATATGTATATATTATTTGATACAGTAGCATATTTCCATCGCTACTTACTTTTCTTCCTATGAACAAAGATGTAGATGCATTATCTACGTTGTTATTCTCAACTTTTTTTCGTTTGTTTTTGCTGTAAATTATAGATTAACTTTCATTACATTTTTGTTATTTAACATGAATAGAAAAAAAAAAGTGAAAACATTTATTATGAATTGCTTTAGTTAAGATTAACATTAACGAAGAAGAAGCAAAGTGTAATGATTGTTTTTTATTACAGGTTGTATATTTCTCAATGTTATGGATCACTGTCACAAATGAATTTTGGAATCAATGTTGATAATCGATTAAAATTTAACTAGATCTATCTGATCAATTTTAGAGAAAGCCAATAGCTGCCGGTATTGACTTGTTACCGTTGTGTAGTTATGTTCGAGGTATATCGAACTATAGCAGAAATAGCGCAATTCCTTGCGCAATTAAAAATGTGAAACACGATGTATCTATTATTACTATGGAAATAAAAATTGTTCTGTTCCATTTCTTTGCAATGCTTGAGGATGTGAGTGTTGGTAGGTGTGGAAATATTTCAATAGTTCAAGAACTCCACATCCATACCCGCATTCAACACCCATACCGACCCCACATCGACATCCTCAAGACCGAAAAGATGAATCCTGATTCGACTTCTTTTGTCATTTTATAAATATTCCATATGATTGACACTTAGAGTGTGGGTGTGACTGTAGCTGTTTGCTATTCCCTTTTACCTACACCCACATCCCACACGCCCACTCCCAACCACACTCACACACTCTACCCACACCCCATTTTTTCCTGTATTCAGTCGTCGTTCGTTGAGATCACAGCTCATTGTTCTCATTGACGATATCGGTCAAAGAGATAAAATGGTCATATTCGTATAAATATTCACAGTTATAAGTAAAAAAAATATATAGAAGTGATGATAAATATGGAAAATTTATTTGTTACATTAAATGATTTACCAGATGAAATTCTTTTGATAATTTTTACAAAATTAAAGAACGTTTCACTACTCTACTCTTTAGTAGGTGTTAACAAACGACTCAACACAATTGTACGTGATCCAATTTTTACAAGTCATTTAACATTCATGAGATGTTTGTTAGATGATTCCATATACCCCTTACCTGATTCAACGCTTGATCGATTTTGTTCACAAATTTTACCGGTAATTCATTGTCAAATCAAATGGCTTGATCTTGAATCATCATCTATGAAACGTATACTTCGTGCTGTAAATTATCCAAATATATATGGACTTGGTTTATTTGACATTGACTTAGAAACAGCTCAATTCCTCTTTGTTGGTAAGACATTTCAATTCTTTCATTCATTAATAAAAACAAAATATAGATGAAAATAAAAATGATTTATTTGGAATATATATGCATCTTACAAATTGATTTAGATCAATGCATATGTTTGAAAAAATAATTTTCGAATTTACTATTCTCGATGGAAATGAGTTAAAAGAAAATTAATAGTGAAAAAGAATCGCTTATATTGAAACTTTAAGCATTGATCCTAATAAAAAGAAGAAGAAACTGTAGAATAAAATAAGTGGTTAAAATAAAATGTAATATGAATGATATGGCATTAGAGCTTATCGACTTTAAAAACTTTAGACTGGTACCATATTGCACTATTTTCCGAGCCAGATCCGGTTGATTAGACTTTTTTTTGCACACGACCCGGTCGATACTCATATTCTTAATAAAATTTTTCTAATCCGCCTTGATAGGTGCTCTGAAGATACGGCACACTTATTGCTATTTTAGATTCAGCAATCAGTATGCGAAACACATTTATTACGACATCTTGACGATATTCGTACAAGAATGTAGTCATTGATTTCGATTTCTAAAGTAACAACTATCGAAATCCCGATTCGAACTCATCAAACAGAGCTCTGAGACTCGAAGCAAGACATGCTCTACACAGCATATTCTATTGAACAATTGTAAAGAAGATCACACATGTACATTATAGAATTGTTAAAAAGAAAAACAAACAATATATTGCTTTAATTATCAAAATAATTGTTAAGAAATTTTTCATCATCATTGTGTTTAGATGAATATTCTTTAATTCATATATATAAAAAGAAAATTTCAATAGAAGGTGTCAATATATTTTTATAACATACACCAATTTACAATATTTAAATTTCAATCCATTTTCAAGTTACAATAAATCTTTATCATTTCCGAATTCATCTCCAACTTTTATCTCCTCAGATCTCTTAGAATTGCATGTCTCTTTGGGAAAATTCATCGACTGTCTTTATATACTTGATGGACGTTTCAATCAACTTCGCACATTTCATGTTAATATTTCTCGCATTTCCGTTTGTGGTCGAAAACTTAATAATAAGGTAAATTATTTTGATTAATATTTAATGTATTCGACCTTCGTAGTTCATATTATTTTTTTTTTGTAGGAAAAACTACCTAATTTAAGATGTTTTTCGCTACACTCTTATATATTTACAGATGCTTATGATGAATTAATTATACCACTTCTATATCGAATGTCAAATTTAGAAGAACTCGATTTAAATCTTTCTCTTTCTATGAAAAAAGCATTTGTTGATGGAAATGATTTGAAGAAAAATATTATCAATCATATGTTACGATTAGACAAATTTACATTTAATATTCGTTCAGTTCTTCATCTTCATAATGAAATTAATTTACCATCAAATGAAGATATACAAAATACATTTCGTGATTTTAAAAATAACCATATAATTTCTTGCCTCGATTATTTTCAAGAACAACAAAGTAGCCAGTGTCTTATTTATTCATATCCATATACATCAAAATTTTATAAGTATATAACAAATAATTTTTCAGGTGGATTATTCAAATGTGTTCGTGAAATATCATTATTTGATGTACATCCTTTTGAACATGAATTTTTCCTTCGAATTTCTCAATCATTTCCATTTATGCAAAAATTGGCTTTACGCAATTATAAACCACAAAATAACAAATTATGTAAAGAATCAAAAAATGACAATCAAGATTTATCCATCATTAAATATCCTCATCTTACTAATCTTACACTTAGTAGATCTCATGATGATTATGTTGAACAATTTCTACTTGATACGAAAACATGTTTACCGAATAATGTTCATCTTAACGTCACTTATCAAACCTTGGAAAGGGTGACACATAATTTTACAAGAGATGCAACACGAATCAATTGTCAAAAACTGAAGTCTTTATCTATAGATCCTATTCGAATATTTAAACATGTCAAAAACTATTTTCCTCATACAGAAATATTCTGATTCATATTAATGTTTATTTAAATAAAATTGATTCGCAAAGAACGAGCATATTAAAATGAAGAAAAAAGTTGTTTTGTTTTTGTATTTGATTGAACAGAACTAAAGTCGTGCATATATGGAAAAAATCACATATGATAAGATGATGCGATTGACAAAAAAAGTAAAAAAATTTCCTTGGAAAAAGCCTTTAAAATGACGTTTATAAGCTGAGTTATTTGGCGGCATTATATAATATGGCATACGTTTTGTTAGAATTCACAGAGTAAAAAGATTAGGACTTTAGAAAAGAAACCTGTTAATATAATCTGTGTTGTATGGATGCGGATCATGCCTAAACACCGAGATGGGGGGGGGGGGGGGGGGGGGGTGGTAAAAAAACAGAAGCGGGGGCGATTATCGTCCTAAAATCCTTCCTACCAGGAGCTCGACAAGTCCACACTAGTGTCCTGCACGGGTGCGACATTCTGCACCTGGAACTGAACCTGACTGGGATGACTGTACCCCGCACCCGTCCAGACGCAGTCGACCTTTAAGAAATTTTTTCGCAGCCATAAAAAATTGTCAAAGTTTTATTTCATATACGGGTCGTTACTTATTTGCGATTTGTTTAACCCTTTACCCATGATAGGGTGTAAAGAGACATGATGCCGATTACTAGTAGCTTATGAAGCATGAAAAGTGATTAAGGCGCCTGAAAAAAGTTACTTTTCGGCAGGATAATCAAAACTAAGATAAATACAGGGAAAGATAGCCCGTGCTCTGGTCTCTCATAAATGACCAACATTTTTACTTGGCACTTCGTTTTTACGAGAGATTTTTGAAGATTTCCGTCATTCTCTATTCGAAAAATAAGCTGTTTTTGAAAAAAAAAATCAAAAATCTTTTTCTTTTTTTCTCGTTTTATAGATTTTCGATCGTATCTCCAAGAATTCTCGAAGGAACTTCATTGTAGCCAATAATTTTTTTTTGGTTTAAAAGCTCATGTTGAGGGCTGGCCCCTCTCGTCACCCTTTTTAAAATAAGTTTTTTTGTTATGATGTAAGAAAACATCTCTGTAGAAACGGCGCCATTTTTTAGGGATTTTTTGAACCATTGAACTTGTTATCCCTTGCCTTCGCTTAAAAGGCAAAAATTTTAAAAAAGAAGCCATGCAATGGGCTAGTCCAAAATACAAACTTTCAAAGAAAAAAATATTTTTATGTATAAAATGAAGATTCACAGAAAATTCTTGGAGATACAATCCAGCTTTTTTGACCCTTGTTTGGCGAATATCACTGTCGAATGTCATGGTAAAAGGCTGAAAATTTTACCATGTCTCTCCCACACCAGTCCTAACATCCTGAAAGTTTCATGCTATTTAGATGTTCCTGGTCTGAGATCGATTTTTGAAGGAGCAGGTCTTAAAACAAAGCACAACCATAAAACATATAAAACAATGAGCAAATATAACATGAGTCATGAGGAACGGTTTGCGGAGTCAAACTACTTTGGTAAACGACCAGAATGCATAGACCATCGACGAACAAGTTGTCACTACTCCAACCCTTTTCCCATATAAGTGTATAGTAAATTACTAAATTATGGTCGAATCGTTTTTAACTCCTGCTTCTCTATAATCAATAATAATCCTAGAAAGTAAAATTACAAATTCAAATGTCATTATCCGCCGGGTCGGGCGGCGAGTTTTTTCAAATTTCTCTACCCGATCCGACCTTTTTATAGCCAGCACCTGAACCAAGTCGGCAAGTTCGTAGCTGGACCCAGGCTTCGGATCAGATCAAATGTCGGGTATCCGATCCGACTGCAGGACACTATGCTTCACACTCTTTATTCAATGAGCATGACACAATGCAGTTGTGCCTAACAATAGTTGGAAAACTTTTTTCTCATATCTATTGGGCTATGATATTTCTTAGAAAATACTGTTTCCGAACACTTACGTATGAACAGCAATATCAAGTTAAAATGCTACGGACAAACATTTTACTAGGTAAGATATGACCCGACATTTACATGTACTTATAGGATGCTCGTTTTCATTTAAACTTATTTGATAATTAAATTGTGAGGAGATTTAAGTGTCGGGTAGATTTAAACACTATGCTAGTTATAATGAAATTAATTAAGTTTTGAATTAGGTCAGTTTGTTATCAGAATAATTTTTAATCGATATTCGAGGCCAGATCTAGAAGAGAAGCGAGAAAGACGGCTGCCTTCTCCTTTAAAATTTATGTATGCTATACTTTAAGTACTTTTCTATATCGATGAGATTTATAGAGACAATTAGGGTGCAGCACTCACTTTTTTAAAGTTTTTAGTACTTGTATTCTGAAATAAACTACTTGAGAGAAGAATACCAACACGTATACATATAAATGGTCTCCACAGTTTTACTTCTTGTATTAAATATTTTTTCTCTTGTTGAATAAGAGAGTGTGGGTGTGGTTGTAGATATTCTTTTCACCCACACCCACACCCTCATCATAGAAATATTATTTCTACAAAGTTTCATTGAATAACAAGATTTATTTTAACTTGAATATGAAAATAGTGAATATTCATAACATTGCAGTTAGAAAATGAATTTTATCCAAACAATCTCTTGAAATTTTTTCCAAGTTCATAATAAAATTTAATGAAAAATATCGCAGAAATTTATTGAGCAGTTTTCTTATAAAAAAAACGAAGATCTTTAATACATATTAAAGTGAAAAAGTTCCGGTAAATAAGTAAAAGAATGTTTAGATTTGTAACTATCCATTAAGGATTGTTTTACATAAATTTATTTCTTAAGGAGTGTAAGATAAGTTTTAGCTTGAACATAACTTTTTATTTCAAATGATAAATTATCCATAAACTTAAGATAAAGTTTAAATAAAGAATATTTAGCTAATAGATTTGTAGGTTCTTGTTTATCTATTAATTGTAATCGTTTTATTTCTCCTGATGAATGTCCATCAATAGTAATTATATTGAGAGAAATATCAAGATTTGACTATCAAGCAATAAACATAGGAGTTGAGCGTATTCGTTTTGATGATAGATCATATTCAAAGCTTTTGTTAAAGACACTATAGATAAAAATACATTATTTAATAATAAAGATAGATCACTATTATTTACTATATTTAAACTAGATAAATTAATTAATAATATAACTAATTGATTTCAAAGAGATTCATCCTTAAAAACCTAAAAATGTATTCTTGCTTATAAAAGAAGAAAGAAAATAAGAACTAGTCTTGATAAATCCATCGATTAATTTTATTAATTTATCGAAGACTTGTTGTTGAAGACTCTGTTTCTAGTTTCAAATAAAAATAGAATAATTATATACGAAACGAATGGTCGTTTATTTCTGGATATCTCATCAATGTGATAGAACTGCCCTCTGTGAATATTACCCTGACTATTGGCCGTTGTCATTTAACGAATAATAAAATAACATTATTGAACATATGTTTTGCTTCATATGTTATCTTAGAAAGAAATCACGGCGGACGATAAATGTGTTAAAAACATTCTTTGTTTGACTCTATCTTCTCTAGGTATAAAAGTAAGTGTCTTATGTGTTTAGGGCAAACATTACATCGTATTTTTCTTATCAGTCTCTAGTCAATACTGATTTTCAAAATGAGTAACTCAAAGGAGCCATTGGCATTATATATTTTGGCTGTGCGACAAAAACGGCATAATGATGCAGTTCAGGTTTGTTCGTATAATTCATTTGAAGCGTGTTAACATTAGAAAAAATTTGTAGGTTCTTACTGATGTTATCAATACGACAACAGATAAAAATGATTTATTAGAATATCTCCAATCACGTATTGAATCAGCATATTGTGATGAAAATTATAATCGTAAGAAAAATGTTAAATTAGTTTAAAACATATACCAATATAATTAAATTCTTTTTTAGAAATTTTGAAGGATTGTAAAGAACTACAAAATTTGGGCTTTCATTTTGACGAAAACAAGCAACTACTTCCTATTCTTTTGTAAGTCAATATATGCTGTCATTAATTTGTAATTGTTTTTTCTTTGTAGTGAAGCAAAGTATCGAGTTGGATCACAAAAAACCATTGAAGAATTAAAGCAAACAGCAACAAAATGTAAGTAAAAGTTAATGATAAATGTTACTTAATTATATGTACTTCTTTTCAGTTGGTCTCGATTTAATGTTAACCTAGGCGAATAGATTAGAAGTATTCAACTTGTAAGTTTTATTTGAAAAGTTTTAAAGATTTAACATCTCTAATATGAATATTAAAAATGCTTTTCTATTTTAGAGATGATAACAATTCCTCGAAACAATCATCAACAAAAAGAAAAAATAGTTTTTTGTGTGTTGATATTAAAAGCTTGTGTTTTTTTTTACAAATTTTTTTGTAACTTTAGTTGTACTTAAGTAAAAGATTTGTTGATGATGATTCAAATTATTTATGTAAAAATAAAATAATATATATAAAATACAAACTTTTCAACAAAGACTAATATGAAGAGAATACACGTTTTTATTGAATATTTAAAAGTACCTTATGCAAAATAATAAAATATATAGATATATAATGATATTGATAATTATTTTATTAAGAAAGAACAAACGTTATTCGATAGTTTGTAAATTAGTATTACGTTCTTCGACAAATATAAATTAACCAATTAAAATATATATTATCTATCATACACATTTCGTATGAACATGATCAAGACTAGCCAGCAATATTTTATTTGAACAATGTTCAAGAATCATGAAATACTTGAAAACATATTTCTACCGGTTTTGAGCTGTCGAAATCAGACAAGTTAGCTTGTAAATATAGATGATAAGCTCTTCACGTTAAATAAATTCTTGTTAATAGTTAATGGTTACAGTCTATCTATGAAAGAGACAAACCAAAATGACGATATATTCCACAAGTAGTTTTCCAAAGTGAGAGCATTAGCCTGCTATCTGAAAAAAACGAATTGACACTAGAGCTGATAGTAAGCTTTTCTTA